TGGAGTCAAGACAATTGTTGACCATCCAAATGGATTGGAAGATGCAGTGACATGGCAGGAGAGCCTTCATCAAATTGAAGCCTTGGTATTCAAGCACCATATCCACTTCAGATGGATTTGTAGGATCTCTACTTATTTCAATAGCATTGTTAGATTGGGATCAAAATGCACACTAGAAGATTTTGCCTTTTCTTATCTTCTGTTGATGGATTCAACCTCATTGGAATGTTAATTGGAATTTTCTGTTTTTTTTTTTTTTTTTTTTGCCGGATTGGCCAAAGACCCAACATCTTTCCCCTTACAATGAAACCCAGGAATTTGTGGGCTCAACTCTGAACTTGCTCCTTAGACCCATAATCACAAGGAAACCTGTTAAGCATTGACCGAGTATCTCATGTAATGATTGTTCAGATGAGATTTTTCTTCCCTTTGCTATTTCCTAGAAGAAGTTTTTCTTTCCAGATCTGGTTGTTTGACCAAATTTGCAAAAGAAGACTGGACTGTAGGACAGCTGTTTGGAGTGCAATCCATAACACTGACACACTGAGCTTGGAAGTTCTCCAATACAAAGGCAACTAATTCATTAAGATCTTCCTTTCAGGCGGGATTTTTTGCCAAGCCTGGTATTGAGAAAGAGAACATATCCTTATGAGTCAATCTTTCACATCTCCAGAAATACCTTTTGAGCTGGAGCAGGAATATCAGAAGCAAGCTGATCAAAGGAATAGCTTTTCAGGACTGTTGCGTGGTGCTAGGGCAGTCTGGGCCCTTTCAAAATAGAAGATGGGTTAAGCAGCTGCTTTAGAAGGATGCAAGATGGAAATAATAGGAGTGCAAAGATCAAAGACTTAACCTCACTCTACTTTGGCTCTGGGATTATAAACTGCCATGTTTCAAACCATAAACCCTTCACCGGGTTTTACTTCTTGATCGCCCTTGCTTTGACTGCAGGGCGATTCTTGATCCATATGGGTTGGTTCACCACAGGAAAAAGGGTCTTTCACATCATCAAAGCAGGCGAAGACGTAGGTTTTCCTCGACATCAAGAATCATAAGAATATGTTGATTATAAGATCAAGAATAAAAAAAAACAAAGACAAGATTGGCGGAGTTTTAATGGGCGTGTCAAGAAGAAAGAAACAGTAGGGAATTAAGAGGAAATGCTCGAATGAGACTGTTAGGAACAAGACGGCTGGCACACGCTTTTTCGAAGATGGACAAAACTACGACTAGGATTGAGAATTAGTATTAAGGGGGATTTTGGAGGTGAGGGAGGAGGATTAGTCGTGTTGTTGAAGCTGGGGAATCGGGGAATTAGTCGAAGGGTGTTGGTTTCGCGGGTATTGAGTGTCGGGGATTTGATGACACTCGAGGTTATCAAGCTTGATCGGCTTGGAGGGCAAACTGTGGAGGGGGGGACATGGATTAGTGCGAAGAAGCCAGATGAACGGTGGTGATAGAAGAACAGGAACTCACGGCCTCGAATGCCCGGTGGTTCAAGACGGGGCTAAGAGTCTCAAGCGGCGGGCTCCAGCCACCTTGCAGTCCGGTGAATGCCTCGGTCACCTCCGCCAACGGAGACATTTGATGTGAACTGGCGAACTTGAAATCGACCATTTGATCATCATCATCATCATTATCGTCACAATGGCCATCATCCGCCACAAAGACTGGCATCGTGAACGCGCTCGGCATTTTGGGGGCTCCGGGACAGGTAGCGTTGGCCGGAAGGGGATCCAAGATTTCGAGTGCTCCATTGTCATTGGCTTGGAGGGCTTCGAGTTTGGAAACCAATTCAGTCAAGCCATCATCTAGTGGGTGTGAGTTACTGGACAGCTCGTTCACATTCCCGGTATCTGGGCAGTAGATGTGTGAGCTGAGGCTCTTGGCCGATTGGGTGCGAGAAGGCTCGGTTCTGGATTTCTTCTTGGCTTCCTTCGGGTTCTGAGAATGTGACGGGACGCGTGGCTGAGATTTCTCAGTCTTGATCGGGTGGAGTAGCGTGGACTTTCCCAGGGAGGAGGGGCAGGGGGCAAAGGGAATTTTGGAATCCCACTTTTCGACGCAGTTGACGCGGGCTGAGGCTGAGAACGTCTTATCGCCTAGGACGCGCGAGCGGGTGGAGGATCGATTGGTTTGACGCGGTGCTGGGATGGTCTTGTTGTTCAACTCGGGGACCTGGGTTCTCTTTATTATTCACGACGGTCTGTAAAGCGGTGCCTGACTTGAGTGCTCTAAGGTTTGAAGGGTCGGCGGAGGGATGGCTTCTGATCAGCGTCTCATCGCAGAAATTCGAAACGCAGTTTCCTAGTCGCTTTACGC